GATCCTCGATTTTCTAGGATGGCCCTACTACATCTTAGAACAATTGACTATTTTATACGCAATGTTTAACTTTATTGGATTTCTTTTCTCACTTTTAAAAGGAATCTACAACACATGTGCTATACACACACAAGTAAACAGACAAGCAAGTGTAGCACGCATACTCTTTGCAGGATTTTTTGGAATTTTTTCTACATCTATAAACAAAATTCTTTTAGATGCACAAATAAAAGAATACAACACAAAAATAACAACACGACAAAACACATACGACGAAGAACATAACAATGTAGACACAACGCCAACGGCACCACATTTACCACCACTACCACATAACCATCCACTATCCCTAGTCCCACGAAATTTTCGAAATTTAGCAATCACACATAATCCAAATTTTCGACTCACCACATCACAAAGTCCCATCCAACATATAATGACACACCAATCACAAGATGATAATACTTATGAACAAATTATTGAACAACCCCATACCACCGCTTTTCAGTCTCAAAATAATAATTTTTTTAGCCCACGATGAGCCGACAACTTGGATCACTACACCGATCAAATTCCCACCCAACCAATCTTACCTCTCCAATCCCAATAATACCACTTTTTGCTTTTCCGCCACCCGATTTCCCATCTAGTAATGTAACATCAGGCATGAATTCCGACACTAACTCACATATCTCAGTTTTATACTCCATCTCACAACTCAATAACCCGAATATTGAAACCCCCGATGAATTTGCCGACTCAGAACCATCCCCATCCAATAATTTTCATAACTCTTCTAATTTTTCTCAACCCCCTTTTCAACCCATATTATCCAATAACCCTGACCCAATCACTTCCACACCCTCTTATGCTTCCCAAGTTACCCCAACCTACTCCTCATACCATTCTGACCAATCATCTCATTCTCCAGACACCCCCCGAATCTCCCCAGAGCTAGATAATTTTATTACCCTCCAACAACAACCCTACCACCTTAATACCCCAACCATAAACCAAATCTCCTCCACTATAAATTCATCCAACCCCCCTACCCCTACACCCTCTTCAAATTATACTGAATCATTAACACCGTCATCCACATCCACTATATCTTCACTCAACACTAATAGAGCTTATCGCACTTTTAAAAGAAAGTTCCCCAACCATCCTTTCCCAGCAAAACCAGGAACAGCCCGTGAATACATCAACCACCCCAAGCATACTAACACAAAAAAATTTTTAGCCATCACCTTACCCTCATTCCCACAATACACCTTAAACACCCCTCACGACACTAACGAAACACGCAACTTTGTAGATGAATACGTTTTAATGCCCACTCTCTCTTGGACCTCATACTATCATTTCACTAACCCTTTTTGCTTACCTTTATCCAGCACTCCCATCGATATAGAACGAAATAAGGATATGCTATATCGACTAACTACACCACTAACCGCTAGACAATTTACTTACGTTGGATATAAAAAATCACTAAAAATACACACTGCACCTAGAGCTAATGAATATACACTAGAATACTACGATCACAACATCATCAGAGCTAACCAAGATCAATTCCTAGACGACGATCACTTCGCTAATCCACAAATCACCGAGAAATTTTTCATCAAGACACCATATGTATTTACACTAAACATCTTCGACCGTAATTATGACCACATTATTTCAGAAGCACTAACAGACACACAAGCATACGAAAGTTTTAAAGAACGCTTCCAAATATTTTCACTAACCTTTCATTTCCTTGCACCACACGAAAGAGATTTGCACTGCTCACACGATATTATGTTGCGCACTAAACAAACCCACACATACAGTTATTATCGTTTCATCCAAAATCACTTTGACCTACACACCCCCTCTAGACAAACACACCATCGTTTTCAATTCATTAATTCAAAATACACTTCACAATATTTCCTAAATTTCACATATTGTATTAAAGACACTAACCTCCATGGTATTCTTCGTAATTATGACCCCATAACCCAAATGTACATCTTCTGTCCCATCATCAAGACCTTCAACGCCGACGAAAACCGACCCTTCCTTATCCCGCACGAGTTTGTACAACCTATAGAAATCCCAATATTAGAATTCATCCACAACACTAAATTTAATCACAAATTATATAACTTAATCCAAAACACACCTTATGAGTTTGCAGTTGGCACTGAAGAACTAACCACCATTAAGGCACTTCAATTGCTTTGGCCACTACTTCAGACTAAAAACATCATCCGCATCTTAGCTAAACTACTAACAACTTCAGAGCTAATTCACGACATTTGCCCCCACGGTTTTTTCCCCGACGACTAACAGGTAAGTATGAATTAAATGAATATTACTAACTAATTACAATATTAAAAACTCACCATTCTTTATCCATGTTTTCTTTAGATTTTTAGCTTTCATCCGACAATCACCTACAAAAACCACAAAAGACAAATAAAAATCGCAAATTTCATCAAACAATTTTAAAATTCTATTAATCAATTACACTTATAAATTTATAAATTTAATATCAATGCAGTAAATTCATTTATAAAATTTCTCCCACAAGCAGTAAATCTAATTATGATGAAAATTTGTAACTTAAAATTCCCCCATACCTAGCAGTAAATTTCCAAATTCTATGTAGTAAATTAATAAAATGCAAATGCAGTACTAACCTTTTGATAATCTCATTCATTCGTACAGAAATCCTATCCACACTCGCACAGCTCGCCCACGAAGAATTGTTTAAAATAATGAATTTCAGTTTCAAGTTTTCACACTCACCAACTCTAACATAAAATAACATGTTTCAAACTTTCCTTTAACCCGGTTGGAAAGGAATCATATACTAAACAAAACTAACCAACGCAGCTTACTAAATACCACAAATCATAGAATAACAGCATGACTAAGAAAAGGAAACCAACGGTACCCAAACCGGATTAACCCAGTTTAAAACTGGATAATTTATTCTTTTGAAGACTATTATAAAGTCTCAGAAAGAAATAATAAAACACAAAAAAGTCGAAAGACAAACCCATACCACAAACAATTTGATTTTTGGAAAAAGGACATAACCAACAAGACATAAGAAAGACCACAACAAACCCAACATAAAACGTTGTCACATAACAGGACCCCTCACAAAAACCGCATGAAATCATACTCCCACCCCTGGCCTAACCCACCAGGAAGGACGTCCTGAGCATGCTCTATAGCCGGCCTAACCCACCGCGCTACATCCACGCTTTGTGACCACACTCCTATTTTTAATAAGAGCTACTCAAGGGTGAGTAACTCTTCAAAATAACCAAACTAAAACAAAAAGCTTTTGTGAAAACAACTAACTAAAATCATAATTAAGAAATATTAAACTAATAAAAGTTTTATAAAATGTAAATTACATGATGCAATACATAGATCAGAATACAACACCAAGGACGAACATCAAAAGACAAAACGACCCCACCACACTCGAGAGAGAATGACCAACTACAATCAATATGCCGCTCACAATCACAACTCAAAGGATTTAGAGTACGACTTGACCTCGCAGAAAAGGACTTCATTGAACTAGACCAATGACCACCTCGATGTTGAAGTGTACGTACAGATCCGAGTAACCAGGCATCCCCTCCACGCACAATCTCCACGCCATTCCCAAGCTAGATCAGACACAAAAGAAGTTCTCCCCGAAGAACAGAAAAACCTGACATAGCCAACCATTCTGAAATCAGAATTGATTTTGTTGCAGAGACTCAGTCGTTGTCACAAGAAGAACACAACGTCTTATGTCCCTAACTCCAGCTTCCTGGAACTTCTTTAACAAAGAAGAAGCGGAAGAAAATTATGATGTTCGCCAAATACCAACGTCCATCATCCATCCTTCGAATTACAGAAGAACTGTTCTAAAAAACTCTGTAAAACCCGGATGGGTGGAACCTGATCTAAACTATATTTTATGATTGGATAAATTAAATGTTTTACCAATGTAAAGTATTTAATATTAACCAATCATGATCCATCTAACTAACAACCCACTTATTTGTAAGTGCTGAAGTTACTTGTAATTTCAGCACCAGAGAGATTTGAATTTAACTTAGAAATTAGTTGCACTCTCCCGAGTACTTCAGCAGCCGCAATAAACCAGTATACCCTAGATCTATTGAGCCTAGCAGAGACTAGTTAAACAACCTGAGACTAGATAGTATAAGAGTAAGATTAGGATCGGTATTAGACTAAGAAGTTGCACGAATCTATCCGGCCGAAAATAAGATAGCGTGACGAGCAGACGGTGTACCCTATCCGAAATTACTCTATGAGTTATACACTCCAGTCCTAACTCAGTACCATCGTAAATAAATCAGAATTTTTTGCAAAAAAAACTGTGCTCATACAAATTCTATATGAGTTTCCAGTTTTTTCAGTTTCCAATATTTTCCGTTTTCCGTAAAACTTTTTTCTCGAAAACCCTCATAATTTAGCACTTTCAAAATCAAAAAACAAGCTTCTTTGAAATAAACCAAACTTAAGAAGTTTGAAATTTCCATAAATTTATTATAATCATTTTATGAAAATTTCAAACTTCTTAAGCTTGGCTTATTTCAAATGTACATTCGGGTTTTTTTCTACACATTGTACATGCAAGAGCGTTAATCTTTTGGCGATTCAAGCTTTGAGTAACCGGGGTTATTCTCACATGTGTTTAGTTACGAACACAATCCAATTTTTTTTGAAGAATTCGAAAGATTACAAAAAAAACGAAACATTTTTGGTTCATGGATATAATTGTGCTTATTTTTATATATGAAAACTACTATTATATCTGCAAATTGTATGCTTAGTATTTTTGGTCAAACCGGGTGAACCTATATCCGCTTCTTCTATTGGGTTCATAAAACGAAGACAATACATACACATGACGTACAAACATCGTCAACAAATTTTTAAAGTGAGTACAAAAAATGTAAACATTGCAGAACCATCCACACCTGTGGATTTGATTGCCACGGTCCCCACGCATGAATCAGTGAGTTTTGGATGGAGCACTGGAGGGGGGACTCTAACTGGCTACAATGTATCAATCAATGCCAGTAATTCAACTGTGGAAATCGAACATCCGGCTATCCACAATTACACCTTGTAAGTAACGAGAGTCGGATAGGATGATTTGTTTTCGGATTCCAGGTACATTCAACAGAATGTCGAATTCAGAACTAAAATTTGGTTTTGCTTAAGTAACTGTAAGATAGGGATTGGATTCTACGCCAAAATGTTAAACCTGTATATCACTTCTGGTTATCTGGAAAAACTAACAATTAATTCTAAGACTGTTCAACGCGATCGGAAGGATCTGTATACGAGCTGTTTTGCTCTTTCGTCGAACCATTTTTGTACCCCTGTTTAAGATCTGCAGACAATTTCTTATTGTGATGTTCTGAAAATTTTTTGCTTCGCCACTTAACCATCTCGCTGCTAAAAAACTGTTGATGTCTGATTTATAATTGCACTTATACGGCTCTGAACTTTTTAAAAAAAGTTCACTTAGGCTATGAAAAAAACAAGAATGCCGCTCATTGTCATCTTTTTTATTGGAGCTCCAAAAATATGTTATATTTTTTCAATCGATCAAACGAAACTCGACTTTGAAAAACTACAAACCGTTAACCATCATATGAGCAGGAGTTTCAAACTGCTATGGAACTATTTCACAAATTTCAACGCTATTTGATCTAAAATTAATTTCATCATCAAAAAAAATATGAATCATAATTAACTGAAAATCTTAATGCAACATTTTTTCCATAAGCCTGAAGCATAATATATCTCATAATAAGTTTTTATCCGAAAATTAGGTTGTTTCTCTTAAGGACCTGCTTTCTTTGTAGCTGCTTCCGTTTTAAAAATCAAGAACCTGTTTCAGCGTGGGCCTCAATCCGGCTGCTGATTACACTGTGACAGTGACCAGCTACTGGGTCTGCCCCCTGGATGCCTTGACAAAAACAGACCCCAACGGAATCAGTCTTGTCGTCCATACGGGTAAACATTTTTTACAGTCGTTGTTTGCAACCAGCTGTGATGAGTTAACTAAAAATTCAACATTTTTTTAAAATTAATGGAAAGCCTGGTTGAAATAAAACCCTTGAAACTATAGTTTAGGTCAACCAGTTACTGGTCGATTAAAAGAGTCGGAAGCAAAACACGCGCACCAAAGATTGATACACGAAAGCATGGACCATCATGTGCGACGATTAGCCACATGAAGCAAATACCATACGATTCTAATGACTTATTTTAATTAAAGATGACTTATTTGCAGCTCCGGCGGCGCCAATACTGACTGTTACCAACACCAATATCACCCTGGGAGGCAGTACAGATTCACTATATCTGCAGATCAATCAGAGCTCTGGAGATATTAACAACAATTTGGTCACCTACTCGGTGCGTTGATTGGTCTTAGAAAGCATTTTTTTGTTCCAATCGTCAAGAAGGATAGTTTCGGAGTTTCCCTAGTGGATAAATCGTCTGAAGTTAGGTTCAGTATTTTATCCCCAAACGTTTGTTTGTTTGGAGAAACTTTCTTTAAAGAAAGACTTCGCCCATCAGGCTCCACAAATACTTTGAAATCAGGTTCCAGATAATCAAAAGGGATCGTGTGATTTATAACAATTTAAAATCCTTTAAGCCGTGAGTTAATCAAGATTTTAAAATTTTCAATAAATTTGTAAGCATCCAGAATTTTTTTTGTGTTTTTTAGACCTTTTTGGAACAAAAAAGGCGAGGTACTAAGTCGAGCTACTAATGCGAAAAATCCTTTGCTGAGCTGTAAAATTTTTTCTTGCTAATTTTTGAATCAAGGAAATCTTTTTAAAATTTTTTTGACTTCAAAATTTTTTTTTTTTCAATTTTGTAATTGTATTTGCAAACAAATATTGCATTCAAGTAAACTCTTTTTAAGCAAATAGGAAATCTTATGTTTATCGGCTCAAAATGCGCGCATCACAAGGACTCAAACTGAGGTTTGGGTATTTTGAAGTGATGTGTTACTGTGATGTACTTTTTAGTTCGTAATTCCGACTGCCTGAAAATATAAAACTGCGAGTTAATTTTTTTTAAGTTTGTTATTGGTGAAGCTTTGTGTGTAATTTGCAGAGCAACCATCTTTTCTTGTTTTTAAGATCATTGTCAACTTCTTTGTTTGATTATTTTTCAGTTTTTTTTTCCAATTTTTGTTTTTCACGCAAACTCAGTTACTGCAAAAAATCATCAGAAGTAGTCGAAAGATATATCCTATTGAAGCCATTTCAGTCCTGCTTCAAACGAGATTTTAGATTTTTCACAAAGTTATCCTAGTGCATAGAAAAACTAGTTTGAAACTTCAGTAACAGCAAAGTTTCAAGCAAATGAAGCGAGCGAGTTGGTAATAAGTCGTTTGGAGATACACTAAAAGTTTGATGTAAATAGTGAAAACTTAGTTTTACTGCAGGAAAACATTTTTTTTGGATTTTTCAATAAGGGTTTTTTGGCAATTATTTTTTTTAGAATTCAAAAAATAATTCTGCACAAAAATTAAAAAATAAACTAGTTTTTTTTTTTCATTTTCTGTGATTGTCAATAACATTTTACAGGAAATTGTTTATTTCACTAATTTAATTTAAGCTAATTCTCTTTTGTTCTGCGCGTTTCTATAAAATTTTTATTACAACAAGTATAAATGAAAAAAAAACGTTTCTTTGAAAAAAGACTTTGCCATAGTTTTATTTGTGGATGTGGACGGGAAAACCTGTGCAAATTGCACAAAAAGTTGCTATCTTTGTTCTAAGTAATTTTTTTGATCAACTTTTTTTAAAATCAGTTTTACAACATACTGTTTCCGGCTTAACCACTAATGTCAACTTTTGTTGATTGATATAAGAAAATCTTGATGGAATAGATTCGATCTTGTGTTTTTATTGAAGTTTCCGTCATCCTCGAAAAATCAGGGGCGGATCTAGGAATTTTCTTGAGCTTGGGGGGTTTCAAAAAATATCAAAGTTTTTGTTGATTTTCTTAGGTCCATCAAATTGATTTCCCAGCACTTTCAAAACGCTATACAAACCGTTTTGTGACCAAGCATCAGCAAAACTGCATCAGGCAAAACTGGTCAAAAAAGCCGCTTTTGGGCACTTTTTGTTTGTTTGGCGCGCATTCCCTTTCAAAATAAGTATATATTGGCGCTAAAGGCGCCAAAAGAAAAAGTTTAGGGCTAGTATGAGTAAGGTTTATGTCATAAAACAGTATGAAATGTGTACTCTTTGTTTGCTGTGAGGGTCAAATCCCTGAAAAAAAGCATCCGACCCCCATCCCCTCCAAAAAAAAATACAATGGCATATTATTCTGTACCATTTTATGTCCAAATTTTGTGTAATCAGACTTAAAAAACAGAAGAATTTTTTTGAAGGCTAGTTTCCAATTTCTTTACTATTGGAAAAGAGTTTATTGTTAAAAACGGTTCGTTAAGACTGTCAGATACAAAAAATAGGTTTTTGTGGGTTATTATTAACTCGAGAATTGTAGTTGTTTCTATTTCATTCATTAGTTTTTTTTTCAAAAGCCTACACTTTTTCAAAAACGCAATGCAGATAGAATTTGAAAAAAAAACAGTATTTAGCAAAATTGTAAAAAAAAAAATGTTTTTGGGGAAACAGATTTGTTTTGCTTTGAGCGCAAGGTTATGATATCTATCGGATGGAATAAAAATTCCGCGAAAAGTTTGATAATCAGCAGCTGGGTACTTATCTATAACGAGCCCTACAAGCAGTACACAAACATGATGTTATATGCCGTGTTCGAAAGTCGGATGAAAACAAAATTTAGTGATGAAATTACTAAGCCCTTTTCGAAACATTTTCGCCAAATGCAGAAATCATAGATCATATTTTCATTATTTATTTAAAAATATATTAGTATTCAGGGTCGGAAAATTTGGCCAAAACACTGACTAAACCGGCCTAGGGATACTTAGAAAAATCAGTTTGGTCAACCTAAAAAAAGGTCGACAAAATTTTTGAAAATTTTTTGAAAATCCCCCTCGAGAACATCCTAGATCCGCCCCTGTTAGTATCCTGTATAGCTATAAATGCCGAAGATGAAATAGGCACTCAGTGTGATTTTGGTAAATCCGAGCACACATAAAAATTCATGGCTTCAAGCAAAAGCAGTCGTAAGGTATCAATTAGCCGAAAAAATCTACAAGAAGACTTAAAAGTTTTCAGTAAATCGACCTCCAAAACTATCTTGGCCAAAACTGAATAAAGCAAAACATTTGAAGTTCAGAATGTTCGAATTCATTCAGAAAACTGTAAATCATTTAAAAAATGTTTTTCTGAGATATTTTTGAAAGAAGTTCACTGAACAATGTGAATGATCGCCGGAAAAACTTTCTTTGAAGTCTCTGAACAAAAACTTTGTTTGCAGGTGTTCCGCTACGACAACGAGGGAGGGCTGCGGGAGATCTACAGTGACTTGGGACCAGTCTCAGATAGAGAAGTGAATCTGTGGGACACTGACCTGCAGCCTGCCCAGTACTACACTTACTACGCAGTCGCTCACTACATGGGACACGACTCAGAACCTTCCGAGCAAGTCGGAACATGCACTTGTAAGTCATCGCAAACGCATTATGAGTATTACTCTATTGTAACTAGCTGTATTTATAGCGCTCATTAAGAGTTTTTTATATAGTTTTAAAAAGTAATTAGTTTGAGGCTTTTCACCCGAATGATAAAACGGTATTTAAAAAAAAACGCTGATGTCAAGATTCAATACATAATGCTGTCTGTAAAACTAACCGGATATTGAATTTTTTTATTTTTATTTTTGCTCACAGTGTTTTTGAGTTTAAAAAAATTGATTAGAAAAAACTGTGGTCGGAAACTTCTGTGCTGCTTGCACTGCAACCGCCTCTCCTTGTTTTCCTTGAATTTAATTCCTATACTTTACGCTGTATTGTAGATTGTCAATTGATCACATTTTATTTATTTTTTCCATGTTTTGTGACAAAATTTTTATTTTGCTGAACTCACGACCAAAATTTTATTAAAAAAAACACACACGTGATAAAATAAAAAACAGTTTTTTTCAAGTTGTTTTTTAAAAATTGTTTTTCATATTTTTTTTGTCTCGCTGACTCGAAAACAATGCGAGCAAAACAAAAAATCCTATTTTGCTTGTCATGAGGGGACCTTCGGTACCTCATTATATTATATTTACTTATGTATTGTCTTATCTAACTATGTCCTAATTATCTACTTATAGTGCAGTATATTGGTTCAAGGACAAATCTCACCAGCCAAACCGTTTGTCACATGAGAACCTGAAGCTGTCACTTGCAAAAGCCTTAAGTGTGAAATCTAGTCATAAAAACATTAAACATTAAACAATACATTCAATTCTGGAATCGTTAATCATTTATTCATTACTCTATTTTATCTATTTATATATTATATCTAACTCAAAATTCGAATTTTACAATACCGTTTTCCCTACTCAAACTGAGGCAAATCTCATGGCGCAGCCAGCAGTTCCTGTGAATGAAGACAGGACTGACCTACTCGGAATACCACCCTTTTAGGCGAGAACATCGGTTAACCCACCTTTCATTTGGGAGACATGGGTGGGACAATTTTTGTTGGCCGTGAGTCTCAAAGACAACATTTCACCGGGGGAGTTACTAGTTGCACCATCAGAGTTAGTGGATGAACCTTACCCAAAGCCCGAAGCACCGAGTACAGATGAAAATGCAGCAGATGTGGCCAATAGGAACCTCCGAATTGCAGCAGCTATTAGAAGAATTGATGAGTACAATCAAGAGAGTAGCAGTAAAGGACCTCGCATTGGACATAACTGGTGTTACCATGAGGCAGAGGCGCGTTTGAAATCGCGACTTTTCTTCGTACTGGGAATTGAGGAAAAAAACGGTTCTTGGATTCTTACCCTAATATGGACCTCAATACTAGCTCGTTCATTGATTTTCACAAGTATTGTGAGGATGTTTTTAAGGCAGAGCGGGACTACACAGTCGAAAGGATTAACCTGTATAATAAAATTTTCATGTAGGATAATGACTCATTCTCATCATTTTACGCCCGACTTAGCGCTCAAACTGCGTTGTGTAATTGGCCGATCGATCAGGAAAGAGCAACATTGAAAGATTTGTTCATTGGCCGCATTCGCGATGTGGAGGTTCAGAGGCAATTAATCAGAGCAAAAGCTAATCTTGATGATACTCTACAACAGGCTTTGGAGAATGAGAAAGGGGCTAAAACATGAGAACAATTTCAGAATTTGCTCCCACATAACAACGCTACTTCTAATACAACAAACTCTATTCTAGTCAAGCAGGAACCAACTTCGTCAGTACAACAATTTAAGAGTCAAGGAAATAGCAGCCGGGGAGGAGGTGTAATCCGTCCTAACCAACGACAAAATCAAAATAAACCATGTTATTTTTGTGGCAACCCGTTTTCTTTGGAACATCGCCGGTCGTGCCCGGCTAGAGAAGCTACTTGCAATGCCTGCAAAAAGAAGGGTCATTTTGCTAAGGTGTGTAAAGTACGAGAAGACGCGTTAACATGGTACAAAATGAAGAGATGTCTACAGATCAAGAGTGTAATTTAAATGACGTAAATGGTGACAGCGAGCCGGAATATGGGGTCATGGCGATAAAGGTTGTGCAGATTAACAATGTGGAACTTCTTAAGACAGCGGGAGGACAACCAAGGAGCCTCAGCATTCAGTTACGTTCCGGTAACTCTTTCTTGTATTCTACGGTGGACACTGGCAGTCCCGTATCTTTCTTAAACAAGAAAACGGCGGATATACTTATGAAGCGGATTCCCAACGTTAAATTTAAGGACATCGCGAGACACCCTTTAGACGTTACCTATGTTGACTATAACAAGAAACCAATTAAACTGTTTGGTTCTCTGGAAATCCCTATTACATCGAAGGGCTGGAAAATCAAGAATGCGTGTTTCCTGGTTTCCGAAAATTTTACTCGAAATATACTCTGGTTGAACCTTCATGAGAAATTAGGAATTGAAACGGTGCAACGCAAACCGGCAGAAGTTAGCTACTCGGAGGAAGATCAGGAATTGGACCCGACCTCAAAATTCTGGAGGGATCACTTTGTCAAAAGGTACCCTATTGTATTCAGCAGGCTGGGGAGATCGAAAAACCATAGAGTATTTACATAAAGACCCGTTGGTGCCCAGACAAGTTAAAGGCCGAAAAGTCCCTATACATTTGCAAGATCGGTCACGGCTGAGATTAAGAAGTTAATTATAGACAAGCACATTGAAAAGTTAGAAAAGTGTACTACAGATCATTTCATCGCACCCATAGTCCTAACAGCAAAGAAAGATGGGTCTATAAAACTCGCGATGAATGCTAAAACCATGAATGCTCAAATCTGGCAAAACAAATATCAAATGCCTAATATGCATGAATTGATTGACTCGGCAGCTCAAATCATAACTAGAGACACACCTGGGGAGATGTGTTTTACTTCTCTTGACCTTAAATACGCTTTCAGTCAATTACTTTTATCGGAACTAACCAGTAGTCACTGTAACTTTAGTATTTTGTGCGGAGAGGCAACAGGAAAATATCGATTCAAGACTGGTTTCTACGGACTGACGGACATGCCTACGGAATTTCAGAAAGCCATGGATTGTACCTTACAAGGATTTGGAAGGTGTCATATGTTACCTCGATGATATACTGGTTGTCACTAAAGGAAGAGTTGAAGATCATAATGTACTGGTCGAAAGAGTCATGAATCGATTGGCTGAAGAAGGATGGGCGTTGAAACTTAGTAAATGTGAGTTTTCAGTTAACACGCTAGTCTGGTTAGGGTATGAAATCGACGAAAACGGTTACGCTCCGAAATTCTCAAAAATAGAGGCAATCAAATCCCTGTTGCCACCCAAAACTCTTAAGCAATTAAGATCGTTTATGGGTACACTCAATCATCTTCAACGTTTCATCCCGGATTTGCACAAATATACAGTCGCATTTAGAGCTTCGCTAAAAGCGGAGAACAAGATTTTTTTTTTTGTGGGGGGAAGAGCAAACTATTGCGGTTCAGAAGATCTTAAACCGCATCGCAAACATCCCTAATTTGTTTCACTACGATGCTTCGAAAGCTTCGCGAGTTAAATGTTATGCAAGTCATAGCGGGCTGGGGGCCTGCTTGGAACAAGAAGTAGAGCCAAATGTTTGGGCCCCGATTGTGTTTACCTCTAGGTTTCTAAACTCCGCGGAAATCAAGTATAGTACCAATGAGTTAGAGCTACTGGCTATTGTATGGTCGTGCAAACATTTTCGTACATGATTACTTGATAAACGTTTTGTTATTCTAACCGATCATAAGGCCATCATTTCCGCCCTCAATGAAACGTATGATAAAAAATCTTATCAGTCACGACTCTCTCGCTGGGCGCACCGCCTCATTCCGTTCGATTATTAAATCGAACATATGCCCGGTTCCTCCCTAGGCATCGTCGATTTTATGTCTAGATACCCGACTTTTGAAGCACTGTTGCCATTATCGCGTGACAAATTATTTGTCATTAAATCTATTCAAGCTTTTCATAATGCTCTAAAATTGATTAGTACTCAATCCAAACCTCAAATAGTGCCTGTGGGGCAAATTTCAAATTATAACCAGTTTCAACCAATCAGATCGTTTGGTGAAACTGGAGGCAACATTAGCTACCTCTTAACTAATACAATAGACCAATCAACGTAAGATTCATCTGACCAATCACATTGTGGCAAACAGTTCAGTTCGTCGCCTCTAGAGGGCGTCGCGAATAGTACTCAATCTGTTAACCAATCTCAAAAGGATATGCTAATTTATCGTCATAATTCCTCGCCGCTAGAGGGCGTTAGTTCATGCTCTCAGTCAACCAGCCAATCATTTGCTCGTATGCAAAATCGTGAGTATATATCATCGTCGCGAGAGGTCGACTTTTCATGCTCTGGTACTCTCGACAATCACAGCGCAGTATGCAAATGAGATACGCTAAACCGGAAGTTTTTGCTCAAGCTCATTGTCTCCGACCTTAGAAATCAGTCACGATATGGATACTTCAATTAATCTTGCTCAAAATACTACTCTTAACTCTACTCTAAATAATTCTAATACTTCTACTAATACTATTGACTTTGTAAATAATGCAATCGAACAAACCCAGACTATCTACAGTTCGCCCTATGGATCGCCCGAGCCGTATTGATCAAATACAGACCCGAAACATTGCCAGGCAGAGACATTCTCGAGAACGTTTCGTGGTTACTCGAGGACAGACTACGCAAAAGGCCCTCACTCATTTCCTCGATAAGTGCCGGAGGCAGCGGCTAACGAGACAGGCCAGAGGAGAGATACTTCGAATGGGGGTTAATGCCATCAATAACCACAAACCGCTGGTCACTCTGGACAAAAAGAAGGTGGTCGGATTGCCGGGATTGTTCGATGTGGATCTGCTGGGAGAGCTGACAGGGGAAGAACCGTTCCTCGGACCGATGAGGACTGCGATCATCAATAAGGATGTGCAATCCTTGAACAAACTGGGGCGTACATGGCCCAATTCTGGACGAAAGCGGCGGTGGTGAAAAACTGTGTCCTGATAGACAACAAATTAGCCATACCCGAACAGTTACGAAGTGCTATTCTGATTCGACTTCATCGCTCGCACCCAGGCCAGGCGGCCATGATGGACGCCTCAGAGTATATATAGTGGCCATTTCTCAATCGCCAAATCGTTAATTTCTGCGAAAAATGCCCGGAGTGTACTCTATTTGGTAAGAACATCAAAACTTTCCTCACAGCGGTGGGGGATCATCGGAGTTGTGGGCTGGTGGAGATATCGATCCACACCATATAACGGAAGTTAGGAACAGAACAATTAGATCCTAATTTTAAAAACCTGAAGTCAACTTTACAACAAATCATTGACGATATTCGGAAAACTAAGCATTCTACGCTAAAAGTATCTCCTTTTGAGTTACATTTTGGGAGGAAGCCTAACACTGAGTTTTTATTAGCACGTGATAATGTTGTTCATTCTCCTACTTCAGCGCAAGGACTGGAAAGGAACCTCCTAACTCCGGAGCAGCGTTCAAGCCAGGATTACAGCCGCGAAAGTTGTACCCAGAGGAGTGTCACACAGCCCAGAAATCCCGTATAAATTCAAGCCACTCTTTGGTGTGGGCGAGCGTATAGCGAATAGTCAACCGTTTAAAGCCTTGGAGAACCTTGCGAAGGCAGCTAACACCTGGAAGCAGTGGAAACGGTATGTGCCTCCACAACAAGGACAAGATCTTCTCCGTGAATTGGCGGCTCGTAATAGCGACCTCGCAAACTCGCTGAAGTCAGGGATCACAAAGGGAACTATACGTTTTTACGACAACGTCCGCAATGCCTCAGCACCAGCACTCTCGCATTCACAGAGAATGAACGTGTCGTCCTCTTCGAGGCCCAAAAGACTCTCAAAAACGCGTAAATTAGAAAAATTAGTTTCACAAGATCCTCTAAGAGTCAAAATCTTTCGGAAAGTTCTTGATGAAAAATCGGGAAAACCTCTGTTCAATCTAGCAAAAATCAAGATTACTCGTGTTACGGATCATACTTACATTACCGACAAAGGGAAAGTCTATCGAAAAATCACTTAAGCCTAAGACATAATTTTAACCACCCTAAGTTTTCAGCTACGCCAGGCACAGTGGGAGAACGCTTGCAGCGACAAATTGCTCCTCGGTCCCAATCTCAACTAACTACTACTCCAGCTAAAAGGCATACAAATGAACCTTCAAAGGGCAAGGTGATTGACTTAACAGCAGAGTCATCAAGCGAGGACTCATTGATCACTGGTCCCCAGCTAGAATTGGTGGAGGCACCGGTTACATCGCCTCAAGGATTGGCTCCCGCGATCGTTACATCGAAAGCTCCAATTATCAATCCTCCAACTAATCCCGCCTTGACATCTCCTACAGGGGCGTTAGCAACACCCCAGGATCAGCCACAGCCTTCCGACACTGTCCCTCAGACTTCAGCAAAGGACCCAGCGGCTACTGGCCATATGGAGGTTGACAATCCTACCTCCCAATCTTCGAGCGAGTTTAACAGATCATCTAATCGGTCTGAGACACCGACGAGGTTTTATGGAGATCCTCTTCGCCCTTCAGTTAAGAGTGTAACTGAATCCGACCCTGCGGGGCCTTCGTCACAACGACCAAACACCGATAAAACTACTACGCCATTGACCGATCAAATTACTACGCCGTTCACCCCGATTGTTCGGAAAGTGCCGTTTTCCAGAACTAAGGAGCAAACTACTCCGTTTAAGAAAACTAGAATCGAAGAGAATGATAAAACTTCTTGAACTTTAAAACTTTGTAAGCTTTGCTATATTGGCCTATTGCTTGGGTTATCACTAACCTATGTTTGTGCTTAATTTCTTTCTCATTATCTTGCCTGATTCATTCCGAAATTTATACTAAGATACATTTTTTTCCAGAGGGGGAAGTGTCATGAGGCGACCTTCGGTACCTCATTATATTCTATTTACTTATGTATTGTCTTATATAACTCTGTCCCAATTATCTACTTATAGTGCAGTAAATTGATTCAAGGTTAAATCTCACCAGCCAAATCGTTTGTCACTTGAGAATCTGAAGCGGTCACTTGCGAAAGCCTTAAGTGTGAAATTTAGTCATAAAAACATTAAACATCAAGCAATACAATCAATTCTGGAACCGTTAATCATTTATTCATTACTCTATTCTATCTATTTATATATTATATCTAATTCAATATTCGAATTTTACAATCCCGTTTTCCCTACTCAAACTGAAGGAAATCTCATCGCTGAACTCACGAACAACCTTTTTTTAAAAAAATTACACACGTGATTAAAAAATCCTTCGGTATATTTTTTCCAGAAAACCTTGTTTTTTTCAGATCCTGGTCCCGTGGCTCACCTTGACCTCCACACCCACTACACCGACTACATCAGCCTCACCTGGGCAGCCCCCCTCGTGGGGTCCAATGCGCCCACCTACTATGCCATGATCATAGACGGGAACAGTTCAATTGTGAACTACACTGAGTATGAGTACAATGTGACCAGAGGGGGGACTGAGTTGAGAGATAGAGACGTGATGAGTTTCACTGTCATGACTGTGTAAGTTTTCAAAGTTTTTTTGTAGTTTTTTTTGAGGCTCTACCTTATCGAAAGCCCATCAATTAGTTCAGCTTATTATGTCACTTTGCTTAGAAGATGTTGAATTGTTGATCTTTTTCGCGCAATCGTTGCTTCTCCGCCTTGAGAATAGCCTCCATTAAAATATAAGAACAAACGCGGCGTTGAAGTCTTACTTATTAGAAAAAAAATATTGAAACAGAAAAAATTAGGAACGGATTGATTGTGCTAAGGTTCCTAGATTTTCTGGCATAATTTATATTTGTTCTCTATGAGAATGATTTGAAGAATGAAAAAGATTTGTAGAATGAAAATGATTTGAAGAATAATGAAGATAACAAAAAAGACTAACAAAAATAAGAAGCTGATATAAAATTTTATTTAGAAAATTTTATAAAATCTAAAAGTCAATGGGATTTTTTTTTTTATTTCAATCATTTTACCCTGCTTTTTAAACCCACAAAAATTATAAAATTATACCGTGACTGTGACACACTTTTCTCATTCCCAATTTCATGTAGTAGTTGCTAGTGAAACTGAATTGGATCTTCAGGTACTCCTGTCCCAACAACGAAACCTACACAGGAGCTGCCACTTCAATCAGCGGCTATATAGGCCCCTTCCCCCCTAACATCACAAGTGCAGTGCCTCTGAGCACCACGGGGATCGAACTGCATGTCATTGCTAATCTCACTTACGACCAGAGTGAAAACACCACGTTTTTGATCACGAGGAATGAACAATATCTTAGCACTGGTTAGTATCACCAGCGGATTTAGAGGTAAGCGGACGCCTCCCCCCTCAGGGATAAACAATTGAATGATAAACAACTGCGCTTTATCTGCAGTATCTCAAAGGGCCATAACGCTATTACCTAAAGTGAATTATGATCATGTTTCCAGTGCCTGCCGCAACCCACGTGATCCAGGACACCCTCAGTCTCCTGCCAGGATACCAGTATACCTACGTAGCTAATGCAATCCAACGTGGTCTGAAAAGCAGAATGTCTGCCCCATTCAAGACGTGCACTTATCCTAACTTGCCAACTGGCCTAAAAGTGATCAGTCAGAACTCAGAGTCGGTCACGCTGCAGTTCGAATCCCCAATTGAAGGTTCGTCAGTTGATTTTTCAGTTACAGAGTTTATGATAGCTAAGCGTAGGTTCCTTTTCAAAAGGACTAGGGTCCCTTACTCCCCCTCATTTTCTGGGGCAGATAATTAGCAAATTAGCTCACAATTAAAGTTTAGTTTTTGTCCCTAATTGCCTATTCATTTTTGATAAATTTTACACTAATTCATAATAATATCGAGAATTAACCACCGGGTGAAAGGAAAATAAACTGAAAAACGTCATGTATTCAAAAAAAATATTCAGTGAAAAAAAAAATTGAAACTAATGAGAGCTTCTATTCGGATTTTTGAATTGTAAAAGCTGAAAAAAATTGATTCACAGTTTAATTCAGGTCGCGTGGACGGGTTTCTGTTCACGATCGATGGTGGCTTCTACTCTGAGCACGTGACAGACACAGTACAGGGTACTCACACAGTCACTTTTCCGACCACAGCCTCAACACTCTCTGTAAATGTCAGGTCAGCATCCAGAAAAATGACGAGCTTAATTGACAGAAATCACAATAAAATAAACAAAATCCTTAAACTTTTTTTCGATGACGTTCAGTTTCGATGGCGTTCAATTTCGATGGCGTTCAATTTAAGCCTCGATTTTTTTTGTTTTGGTTTTAGTTTTTTTTTGAAATTCTTAATTTGAATCTTTGTAGTCGGAGAGCCTTGTTAAAAAAGCTCGTTGCTATAATTGCTAATCGCACCATGTTATGTACTGATGAGCTGAATCACTGATTTGTTTGCTTTTTTTCCGACAATCAAAAAGTTTTCAATGTTCTCTTTTGATTATCTTATAAATTTTGATAAAGTTTCTGATGGAACATCAAAAAAGAGTTTGTTTGAAAACAATTGCATGATTCTATCCTGCAACCATAGTCATTCAAATTGAGCATGATGGAAAAATTGATAAAATTGATTCGTTGAGTTACAATATTACACTACGTACAGGTTGAACTCCGTGGCGTGGATCGAAAAAAATATCATTCTAGGTCTTCAGAAAAAGGCTAATCAATTGAATATTTCATAAAAATGTGAAAAAAGTCTGAAAAATTTCTTGCGGGGGATGAGTGTGTTGTCATATTGAACTGTTTCGATTGCTATTTGCATCCCAAATTAGATACTTCATTTGAGTATCGGTGTGACGAAAACAGTATGAAACTGATTCTAACTGAACCTCATTTGTAAAACATGGTTTCTTACTATTTGAAAGATTTTTAGGTAACCTATAACAACGTATTACTTTGAAACTTTCTTATTATTTTGAAAGCACAATACTTTCAAAACTTATAATGACTTTTTTTACTACCATCGACATTTTTCAGCCTTGAAAACTTTTATCGTAAAATTATTGGCTTCTCTACCATTGTACAGTTGTTTACTTACAACCATCTACAGAATTATGGCTTTATATTTTCAAAAACAATTTTCAAATGAAAAGCAAATGGATCGAGTGATAGTTTATAAGACAAATGTTTTTATCGTAATTTGGGCTGCAATATTTCGACATACATTTTCAGAGTGGGAAATAATCAGTTGGAGTTCTTTTTCCAATTAGTTCAGAAAATTGTGTCGTTAATTTAGATATTAAACCCGGGTTGATTTCCATACAACGAAAAAAACCTCGGATACAATTCTTTACACTAAATTTGAATTGGCGTAATTGTTAATTTAATGTGTTTTTCTTCTTGTTCTGATCATAAATTTGGTGTATCGTCAAACAACTGAAATGCTATTGATACAAAAAATCTTATTAAGAGTAATGAACGTGGTGAAGACTCTTATATATATTTTGTTGATTTTTTTTCAGTAAAAGTCTTAAAAGTCCATAATAACTACAGATGTGCATTCATACATATTGATGCATTTTTTAATGCACTTAGGTATATATGCACTTCTTGAGTTCAACTGAAATTCATTTGCTGAAAGTGACTTAAATACCAATATCCATTCACGAACGCGGAAATCGCAAGAAAAACGTGAATGATTTCTAGTTTGAAAAGGGGAAATTAACTTTTAGATTTCCAGTAGAAAAAAACTTTACCTTTTGATCCGATTTTCTCTAGTCTAGAAATTCAAAAAAATTAAAGGGCATGTATTTTTTATTTGAACTTCGAAAGTTGAAAGTTTCAATAAAGTCAGTGTTTTTTTTCTATGTTTACTTGAGTTAATTACTCTTTCCAATCTTCGATAAGCTATGTTTAAGCAGTTACCATTCATTTTAGGAGATCGAATGATTAGCATTTTTTTGGATGACGAGGAAAAGTTTAACTTTGAAATGCAGTACGAGCTTTGTATTCAAACAAACAATTTTCTAAGAAAACTACTTCGCGAGAAAAACTTACTGTTGTGCTCATAATGCAATCAGGAGCGAAGTAATTTTTTCAAAATTTCTCAAAAAACTAATTCTTTGTAGTTTCTATTTTTATATGCTGTGAGCAATTAATTTGAAGTTTTTAGATCGCAGAACCAGCATCATTCAAATTGCTTGCAAAAGTTAGAAGTTTGGATTCCGGCTACAAAAACCTCCAACACTTGAAAAAAATTGACATTGTAATGCAGCAACCGGTTGTTATCCCGTTTCCATTGAAATTTCTTCTGATTTTCAGGTCTTACGTCTTCTGTGAAATGACAGTGAATGGAGGCGAAAACACTACACTTCACAGTGAAGACATGCTGTCCATTACAGCTCACACAAGTAAGAACTGCTCAAAATTGCAACAGAAAAATGAAAACGGAAACTTTGTTTCAGCAAACCCTGATTAAACTTCATTGCTGAGATAGACTTTATGTATCTGAAAAGTTTGAAAAATTGGATATTTCAAACATAAAGATAGTTAACAGAAAACAACATTTTGAACATAAAACTAAGTTTTAACACCATTTTGTATGACACTTTTAATGACAAACTTCAGTGATGGAGAAAAATATCGAGCGAAATAATTAGCGCTCCTTTCAAGTTTGCTGTTTGCAAATCTTTTACTAATGAATTTATTTTTTATCGGTTAAGTTCTTACAAATTGAAATTTAAATTACAATTTTTGAATTCGTCTTAATTGATCAACTCAGCTTCTATCATTTCCTGTGTCTTAGTACCACCTATTTATTCATTAGTAAGCATTTTGCCATTCTGTACAAGTTCATATTAATTTCCAGCGCCCCTCCCCCCTGCCCTTGAGCTAGTCCCCCTGGGCGAGACGTCAGTTCAGATCAGCTTCGATGTGACAGACCCCGCTTTCACTTACCATTTATGGAGGGATGGTGTGAAAATAGCTTCTGACTTCAGCTCGCCCATCATAGAGGACACTGGTCTGATTGCGGGCACAGGTTATATGTACAAGGGAGCGGTGGAGAAAAACGGCGTGCTGTCTGAAGTGTCAGATTTCGTAAGTTTTCTGTTAGGTTTTTTGTCAAATCAGAAATCTTGTTTTTTTTCTTCACAATTTTGTATGTTTTTTACATACATTTTTTACTCGGTTTCGATTTTTTCTCAACTTTGTAAATAAGTCATTTTAAAACCGGATTAATGTAATGCAGCTCAAATGTAAGGGTTCTGCCGAAAACTGTCGCTGCCGTCAAAAAAGAATAACAAGCTTGAAACTCTTTAAAATTTAAATTCTAAAATTATATCAGATAAAAGAATTAGATAAAACTCATGTAACAAAAACGCAAGACCCTATTATAGGCAACAGTTCATACCCTTCCGCCCGCAGTGTCCGAACTGAAAATGACAGCTGTCACTCACGATTCACTGACTGTCAACTGGCTCAACAACATGGGTGAGATCACTGGATTCTGCATGTACATTGACGGAGTTGAGGATTCCTGTTTGACGACTGCTCAGTTGAACATGCACACGTTTGAAGCGTTGAACCCGAACACAGCTTACGAGTTGAGAGTGTAGTAAGTAAACGTCGATTGTTCCGAGATCATTTTTTTGTCCATAAAAGGATCTTTCATAATTTTTCGTTTTTGCTCAGACTCTGTTCGTATCTTCAAAAGTGTATTTCTGAATTCGAATTACGACGTTTCTTTTCCCTTAGTCTAAGTTGAATCTTTCAATCTCAATGCGCATGAATACAATAATGATGAATCCAGTTATACTAAATATCAAGTATTTACAACTACTTTCCATGTAAATGTTCATCCAAGTATAAATTTGAACTGCTTCCAGTACGTACATTCTGGTGAATGGGATTGAGATCAACTCCTCCGTGACGTCCATTGCAGACAGGACTACCATGGCCCCTCCCAAGATAACTGTGGCCCCAGGGGACATGCCGGGCACCATGGTCATCGGTGAGTCATCAAGATTCAAGATTCAATTAATTACCAGCTACAAGGAGCAAGCCTTAGGTAATAAATATATGAAATGTTTGAAGAAGTCATCAAGGAGCATTGTGCTCATCGACTGGTCACCTTGGAATAATCTAGAGAAAAGAGTAATGAACAACCTCAGTTGCGGTTTTCCGCACTTGAACACCTTAATGGGGTCACTAATGGAGTTAAATAAAAGCCACATGCCTACCAAAAGCTCTAATTTTGCTCAATTTTTGTAGTTTTTTTTTGTGTTTTTCAGGTAGATTGTGCAGGTTTTTTTTGGCGTTTTTTCAAAACTTAAGGAAAAAATGCTTTTAAATTTGATTGAACTATTGATAAAGTCTTTCTGAAAACTCGAAAACTCTTCTTTGCGATGTTATATTTTGGTTTTTGTTGACATAAAGTGATAAAATATCTGCTCAATCACATTGCAAAAATTAAGGAAAAATGTTTGAAAAAAATTTTTAAACAAAAAAGATCAAAAATAAGGCTTACATAAAATTCGTGTAGTTTCGTGACTATTTTCGTGTGTCAAAATCATGTTTTTATTTCAAAGTAGCTAAAAAAATAGGTTGGAATTGTACGCATCTACGTAGCTCACTGTGCTTTATTTGAACCTTGACACCCCAGAACTTATTTGAAGCTGGATGACACGCAAAAAACACCCGTTTTTCTTATATTAAAATCATGAATTTGATGCAAGAGCGTCTTCAGTCTGAACAGAGGTGGATCTAGGATTTTCTCGAGGGGGAGGGGGCGGATTTTCAAAAAAATGTCGAAAACTTTGTCAATCTTTTTTTTAGGTCGACCAAATTAATTTTCTGGGCTCTCACAAATTGCTACAAAGACCCCAAATGTTTGAAAAAACATGCCAAAAAAGCGTTTTCAGTTTTTAGACACTTTTTGGAAAATTTTGACAAAAAAAAATGTGTTTTTGGCGCGAAGTATATTTTGGAACCGAAGGCTCTTTTAGAGAAATTTTAGGGTCAGTCAGCCAAAAATGAATATCTGACAATAGTACGAGGGGTCGGCTTTGGTTCGGCAGGGGGTCGAATCCCTGATTGGAATGGGGGGGGGGGGAGGTGGCAGACATCCCCCTTCTAAATCCGCTGGTGAGTCTGAACGAGTAAAATTGGGCGTATATGCTTTTTGTTTTGACTAAAAACTCTTGTGGAATGATCACTTAGGATCGAATCATTAGTAAAATCAGTCCTTTCAGTATTACATTATTATTAGTATTAGTCGAATTATTTCTGGTTTTTTTTAAATTAATTTTTGTCTCTGTTTAGACTTTGTGGACTCACAGTACCCTGTGACGCGTACAGTGTACAGACTGGGTCCAGATGGAGTGTGGGAGCAGGCGTATGACGTCACCGACCCTTTCTATGACTCACAATTGCAGACAGCCAAAGAGTACACGTATAAAGGTACACGCGCTTTTTTTAATTCTTCACTTTTTTAAACAAAAAAACTTCACATTTTATCATCAAAAGCTGCCAAAAACTGAGAGGGGATGTGGAGGGCGCGACTGTTTTCTACTTTTCAAATTGGTTGCCAAAATTTTCGAAAAGGCTTCGATACTATTATACGACGGCCATTTCTGGCTGGTCAACCATAAATTTTTCTAGGACATCTTTTTGGGAACGCACGCCCAAAAATTGGTTATAAAATCAGTCCAAAATCTTATAATTGGTTACTCCGCAGAACACCAAATATGGTCCCATTCTAGGGGTTTCGGTAGAACTCAATTGTTTTCTAAAAGGCTGATCAAGAAAAAGTGCCAGCGCTACTGCACTCAAAAAACAAGGAGTGAATTGTACCCTCAAATTCTATCGCTAAATTTTCAATTAGGGGCGGGTTGAGGAGGGGGCGAGTGGGCGGATGCTCTCCCCCCCCCCCCCCTCAGGGATTCAACCCCTTCCCGACCCAAAGGGTCCCTCCTTTGTACTATTTTCAAAAATCCATATTTGGTGATGGACCCTAAAAATTTTCTAAGGGCGCCTTTGGTGCCAATATATACTAATTTTGAGGGGGCAGCGCGCGCCGAAAAAATCGATTTTTTGGTCAAAATTTTCCAAGAAATGCTTAAAAAGACGCAGAAAATTTGGCCAAAACAGGGTCTTTTGCTTTGGGAGAGCTCGGAAAATCAATTTGGTCGACCTAAAAAAGGTCGACAATTTTTGAAAGTCCGCCCCCCCCCCCTCGAGAAAATCCTGGATCCGCCCCTGAGTCCAACGTTTTTTTGAAACAAGTGTGCGCTTGTACAAATTTCAAAGAACAAAAATTTAAAGTATGAAAAGAATTAGTTCGTTTTTGAAACAGTTTGTACTATTTTGTATATAAGCTGTCATTTTGCTCGGGAAGTTTCTCTTATATTTTATCCTTCGATACACGTTCGTTCATTTTCAACTTTCTTCAGCCACCTACACTGGTCTAAATGGGGCGGAGAGTGCCTCTTCTGATCACGTGGTCATGTGCACCCACCCTTCCAAGCCAGTGTCACTGCAGATGTCCAAAGTGGACCCCACCAATGGAGTGTACATTGCCATGTGGGGGCAACCCAACAACCCACCCACTGGTTAGATGCATAAATTGTTAAACAGTTATAACTCCCTTTTTTTTTGTTCCGACGGTTGAAAGTAGGGAGGAACTTTGTTTTTGGGCGGACATTAATTTTTTTCTGGTTTTCTTTTTTTCTGGTTTTCAAGCAAAATCAGGAACCTCAAACAATAATCTGAATCGGATTAGGTCGAATATCAGCTGCGATTCAAACGACATTACAAAACTTTTAAAAAAACATTACAAAAACGACATTACAAAACTTTAATAAAAGTGTCCCTCAGGGATTCGACCACCTACTGATCCAAAGGGTCTCCCTTTGTACTATTTTGAGATATCCATTTTTGGCTGACGGACCCTAAAATTTTTCTTAAAGTGACTTTTTGGTCAAAATTTTCAAAAAAGTGCCTAAAAACGCTTTTTTGGTCTATTTTTTTCAAAATTTTGCCTGCAGCGCACAAAATTGGGTAAAACATGGAGGTTTTTAGTCATTTGGGAGAGCTCAGAAAATCAATTTGGTCGAATAAAAAAATCGAAAAAAAATTTTTTGACTATTTTTTGAAATCTGCCCCCCCCCCCCTCCTCCTAGAGAAAATCCTAGATCCGCGCCTGTTTTTAATAATTAACTTTTTTTCTGTTAAAACTATCTAAATTATTTGACAAGAAATGTTTAGAAATGAAATTAAAATTGAATTAAAAAATGTACATTTTAAATTTGTACAATTTAATTTTATATTTGTTCTATGTGAAAAACTTTTGCTGAGTTGTTTTTTACAATACAATTTTTAAGCTTTCATTTAGTTCTTTCATTGTACCAAAACAAAAAAGACGCCATTTGAAAAAAAAAAACTTTTTTTTATTAATTTTTTTTCCAAATTGTGATCGGAACATTCTGTGCTGTGCTACTTGCACAGCAACCGGTTATTCTTGCAACTAATTTGTTTTTATCTCTTCTCGGCTGAACCAACTTAATATAATCAAAAATCATACGGAAATTTTCATTTAGCTCCAAGGTTTTTCACTGCCCGATAGCTGACATTTTTATTCCTGCATTTTTGAGGTCTTGTATTACTGAACTAGCCCAAACATACTAAAATTTAGACCAACTGTGAATTCAAATGTTTTTTTTCTATTCAATTTTTTCAACAAATATGGACGAACTTTTTCATTTCTGTTTTTACGTTTGCATAATTAGAGTTTGGATCGTGTACAAAAGAAAAATAATTTTTTCCAATTTGTTATTGGCGATATCTTATAGTGAGCTCAAATTCGTCAGATCTGAAATATAGCAAGTATTCAGACTACTGTTTTAAAAATTCTTTGATACATTTTGCTCCCTGAATCATTTTCGTTTATCAGCCAAAATATGTTTTTTAGGCAAATTGCTGGGCAAAAAATTCAGCTGAAAAAATCCAGCTGAGTGAGTTATGACCGATGGGTATAACTCATAGAGTAATTTCGGATAGGGTACACCGTCTGCTCGTCACGCTATCTTATTTTCGGCCGGATAGATTCGGGCAACTTCTTAGTCTAATACCGATCCTAATCTTACTCTTATACTATCTAGTCTCAGGTTGTTTAACTAGTCTCTGCTAGGCTCAATAGATCTAGGGTATACTGGTTTATTGCGGCTGCTGAAGTACTCGGGAGAGTTCAACTAATTTCTAAGTTAAATTCAAATCTCTCTGGTGCTGAAATTACAAGTAATTTCAGCACTTACAAATAAGTGGGTTGTTAGTTAGATGGATCATGATTGGTTAATATTAAATACTTTACATTGGAAAAATATCTAATTTATCCAATCATAAAATGTAGTTTAGATCAGGTTCCACCCATCCGGGTTTTACAGAGTTTTTTAGAATAATTTTTCTGTAATTCGAAGGATGGATGATGGACGTTGGTATTTGGCGAACATCATAATTTTCTTCCGTTTACTCTTTGTTAGAGAAGTTCCAGGAAGCTGGAGTTAGGGACATAAGACGTTGTGTCTTCTAGTGACAACGACTAAGTCTCCGCAACAAACTCAAATCTGATTTCAGAATGGTTGGCTATGTCAGGTTTTTCTGTTCTTCGTGGAGAACTTCTTTTGTGTCTGATCTAGTTTGGGAATGGCGTGGAGATTGTGCGTGGAGGGGATGCCTGGTTACTCGGATCTGTACGTATACTTGAGCATCGAGGTGGTCATTGGTCTAGTTCAATGAAGTCCTTTTCTGCGAAGTCAAGTCGTACTCTAAATCCTTTGAGTTGTGATTGTGAGCGGCATATCGATTGTAGTTGGCCATTCTCTCTCGAGTGTAGTGGGGTCGTTTTGTCTTTAGATGTTCGTCCTTGGTGTTGTATTCTGATCTGTGTATTGCATAATGTAATTTACATTTTATAAAACTTTTATTAGTTTAATATTTTTTAATTATGATTTTAGTTAGTTGTTTTCACAAAAGCTTTTTGTTTTAGTTTGGTTATTTTGAAGAGTTACTCACCCTTGAGTAGCTCTTATTAAAAATAGGAGTGTGGTCACAAAGCGTGGATGTAGCGCGGTGGGTTAGGCCGGCTATAGAGCATGCTCAGGACGTCCTTCCTGATGGGTTAGGCCAGGAGTGGGAGTATGATTTCATGCGGTTTCTGTGAGGGGTCTTGTTATGTGACAACGTTTTATGTTGGGTTTGTTGTGGTTTTTCTTATGTCTTGTTGGTTGTGTCCTTTTTTCAAAAATCAAATTGTTTGTGGTATGGGTTTGTCTTTCGACTTTTTTGTGTTTTATTATTTCTTTCTGAGACTTTTTAATAGTCTTCAAAAGAATAATTTATCCAGTTTTAAACTGGGTTAATCCGGTTTGGGTACCGTTGGTTTCCTTCTCTTAGTCAAGCTGTTATTCTATGATTTGTGGTGTTTAGTAAGCTGCGTTGGTTAGTGTTGTTTAGTATATAATTCCTTTCCAACCGGGTTAAAGGAAAGTTTGAAACGTGTTATCTTGTGTTAGAGTTGTTGAGTGTGAAAACTTGAAACTGAAATTCATTATTTTAAACAATTCTTCGTGGGCGAGCTGTGCGAGTGTGGATAGAATTTCTGTGCGAATGAATGGAAATATCAAAAGGTTAGTACTGCATTTTTGTTTTATCAATTTACTACATAGAATTTTAAAATTTACTGCTAGTTATGGGGGAAAATTAAGTTACAAATTTTCATCATAATTAGATTTACTGCTTGTGAGGGAAGAATTTTATAAATGAATTTACTGCATTGGTATTAAATTTATTAAATTTATAAGTGTAAAAGATTAATAGAATTTTGAAATTGTTTGAAGAAATTTTCGATTTTTTATTTTTCTTTTTGTGAATTTTTTAGATGATTGTCGGATGAAGGCTAAAAATCTAAAGAAAACATGGATAAAGAATGGTGAGTTTTTAATATTGTAATTAGTTAGTAATTTACATATAATTCATACTTACCTGTTAGTCGTCGGGGAAAAAACCGTGGGGGAAGATGTCGTGGATGAGATCGGAAGTTGTTAGTAGTTTAGCTAAGATGCGGATGATATTTTTAGTCTGAAGCAGTGGCCAAAGCAATTGAAGTGCCTTAATGGTGGTTAGTTCTTCAGTGCCAACTGCAAACTCATAAGGTGTGTTTTGGATTAGATTATATAATTTGTGATTGAATTTAGTGTTGTGGATGAATTCTAAAATTGGGATTTCTATAGGTTGTACAAACTCGTGCGGGATAAGGAAGGGTCGGGATTCTTCGGCGTTGAAGGTCTTGGTGATGGGACAGAAGATGTACATTTGGGTTATGGGATCATAATTGCGAAGAATACCATGAAGGTTAGTATCTTTAATGCAATATGTGAAATTTAGAAAAAATGGTGAAGTGTATTTGGAATTAATGAATTGAAAACGATGGTGTGGTTGTCTAGAGGGTGTGTGTAGGTCAAAGTGATTTTGGATGAAACGATAATAACTATATGTGTGGGTTTGTTTAGTGCGCAACATAATATCGTGTGAGCAGTGTAAATCTCTTTCGTGTGGTGCAAGGAAATGAAAGGTTAGTGAAAATATGTGGAAGCGTTCTTTAAAACTTTCGTATGCTTGTGTGTCTGTTAGTGCTTCTGAAATAATGTGGTCAAACTTACGATCGAAGATGTTTAGTGTAAATACATATGGTGTTTTGATGAAAAATTTCTCGGTGATTTGTGGATTAGCGAAGCGATCGTCGTCTAAGAATTGATCTTGGTTAGCTCTGATGATGTTTCGATCATAGTATTCTAGTGTATATTCATTAGCTCTAGGTGCAGTGTGTGTTTTTAGTGATTTGTTATATCCAACGTAAGTAAATTGTCTAGTGGTTAGTGGTGTAGTGAGTCGATATAGCATGTCCTTATTTCGCTCTATATCGATGTGAGTGCTAGATAAAGGTAAGCAAAGGGGATTAGTAAAATGATAATATGAGGTCCAAGAGAGAGTGGGCATTAAAACGTATTCGTCTACAAAGCTGCGTGTTTCGTTAGTGTCGTGAGGGGTGTTTAAGGTGTATTGTGGGAATGAGGGTAAGGTGATAGCTAAAAATTCTTTTGTGTTAGTATGCTTGGGATGGTTGATGTATTTACGGGCTGTTCCTGGTTTTGCTGGGAAAGGATGGTTGGGGAGCTTTCTTTTAAAAGTGCGGTAAGCTCTATTAGTGTTGAGTGAAGATTCAGTAGATGTGGACGACGGTGCTAATGATTCAGTATAATTTGAAGAGGGTGTAGGGGTAGGGGGGTTGGATGAATTTATTGTGGAGGAGATTTGGTTTATGGTTGGGGTGTGAAGGTGGTAGGGTTGTTGTTGGAGGGTAATAAAATTATCTAGCTCTGGGGAGATTCGGGGGGTGTCTGGAGAATGAGATGATTGGTCAGAATGAAATGAGGAGTAGGTTGGGGTAACTTGGGAAGCATAAGAGGGTGTGGAATTGATTGGGTCAGGGTTATTTGATAATATAGGTTGAAAAGGGGGTTGAGAAAAATTTGAAGAGTTATGAAAATTATTGGAT